ATAACTTGACAAACATTTTGCACCTACTGCAGTAAAAACATTTTTATCGTTGCAATTAGGCTTAAAAGATTCATTTGAATTGAGCTTCTTTTTATTAAAATATCTTTTTAAAGTCATTCAATTTGTTCTAAACTTGCGAGCTATAACATTCGCTGGTCTGCCCTCTAAAACTTCATTAACAGCTGCTTTCATTGTATCACATGATATTGCAACTCTGTCTGTTTGTTTTTTTCTATACTTAACCATTTAAAGATCTGAAAATTAAACAAAAAAAGAAAAAGAAAATGATTGATTAAAAAAATATTTTATATAATAATATTATGTAAACTAATTGTAAAATTTATGTAAAACTAATATTATTAATATTAGTTTTTAACACTATTACATTTTAAAAATGAAATTTTGAAAACTTACATAAAGATTTTTTATTCGTCATAAGTTTAAATGTATAAAATTAAAACAAAAAATTTAAGTCTTACAAAATAAGTCATATGGGGCACTTTGATCCTCCGATCAATGAACCCACCATAGCCAACGATCAATATGCCTCATTAGGTATAGTTGATATATTGATGCCAATAACTTTTATAAATACTGTAACCAACTCAAAAAAATAAATTTATTATAAACTTAGCACATATGAGTTTACATTAAATTGGTTGTAAAGTCATACGAAAATCTAATTAAAAATTTATTTGAATTTGTTTACTACTTTCAAAAATCATTTTTTATGATGAAAAACTGTATTTTCAATTTTCTTAACGCTGAAGTTGATCTTATCAAAAATTATCACGATTAAACAATATAGGGTAGTATAATGATTAATTAAATTGCAATCTCCGTTAAATTAAGACAAAAGTAAACGAGTAAAAGCTAAGAGATCATACTATCCCGGTGATCAATGTGCCCCCCTATTCATATATTTAACTAGAATGAGACAAATGTGAGCAATATAGCAGGCTCTAAAACAATAATGTGTAGAAAGAATAATACATCATTATCAAGGAGCTGATATTATTTTGTAATGTGGGAGTGCAGTTGGTCAGTTTCTTTCTTCCATTGTTATTTATAAAGCTGCAAACTGTTACATAAAGTTTTTTTTTCTCTCTTTATTACAATCTTTATACAAATATAAGTAAAATACTAATCTTACATTAATTTAAACTAATTACAAATAAAGATATCGTTAGAAAATAAAAAAAGATAACATAATAAAGAAACCGAAAACTCGTAGAAGAACGTGATGTCTTATCACCGAAAAACCGCTCAAGCTGACTGAAACAATTTTGCTGATTTGATGTAGAGCTTTAATGTTTTCTTGTTTTTATTTTTTTGTTGTTGTTTTGTTTTGTTTTGTATTTTTTATTTACTAACAGGTTTTATCAGTAATCGTTTGTTAAACTGGTAAAGCTGATGAATTTTCTTGGTTAAGAAGGTTCACGAAATTTACGTTAATTGTAGGAGTCAATCAGATAACTTTTCCAAACAGAGTTTTTTTTTCTTTTTTATTATGAGCATAGTTATTTATGTCCTAGATATTTAAAATATAATAATGCAATTTTTAAAAATAATACATTTTAACATTTAATATAGTCTTTGATTTTAATAATTTCTTAACGTTTTGTTTGTTTTAGGAAAACCATTATGCGATAAATAGCTTAAATTAGAATTATTCACACTCCAGAGTAGACTTGCTGTCTCATAAATAATTGTTTTGTCTGTATTTTTAGAATCAACTATAGTAGAATGTAAGACTTTTAGAAAGTAAGCTGCTGAATAATATACTTAGACTACCAGCACATAAACACCCATAGCAGCTCATACACACAACATACTAACAGCACATATGCACCCATATATATATAAGCATACATACATAAATATATATATATATATATACATAATATATATATATATATGTATATATATATATATATATATATATATTCAATGTTCAACGTTGTATTTTAAGTCGGCATTTTAAGTCCACATTAAACAATGTATTTTACGTTGGCAATACGTTGTATTATACATATTTCCGCCATTATGATGATGAGTTATCATTGCTTATCACATAGGTTTATACTTTTATATTGCATCTGATTAAAAAGGCATTATTCACGTTTGTTTTGTATGTGGCTTGATATTTCATAACATAAAAAAGAGAAAAATATATTAGCAAAGTATATTTCCATAATCAACTGAAATATTTAAATGAAAAATAGTTCTTATAAACTATACAAATGAATATTTGTATATCTGCCTTTTATCAATGCAAACTCAACGTTGTTCCACTGTATAAAATCCAACGTTCTTCCAATGTATTTATATACATTAAATCAACGTTGGTTTATACACATTGATTCAACGTTGAGTTTATATTGTAAAAAAAATCAAACTTTTGCGATGTTTTTACATACATTGGATCAACTTTGATACATATATATTAAATCAACGTTGGGTTATATGTATTGGATCAACGTAGGGTTTAGATCGTAAAAACAAATAATTTTTTGCGATGTTTTTACATATATTTATTTAGCGTTGGTTTATACACATTAATCAACGTCGGGTTAATAACATTGTAACAACGTTGGGTTTATATCGTAAAAACAATCATTTTTTTGCGATGTTTTTAAATACGTTGGGCCAATGTAAATGTGCCAGCTGTTTTTAGTTCCGTCGGTATTTATTTCATCATTGAACAAATGTCACTAGATCAACGTTGGTTTTGCATTGGAAAAAAGAGCCGACGTTTGCAATGGTTTTACATACGTTGGTCCAACGTAAGTGGGCTAGCTGGGGTCTGAGGGAAAATTAAATACTGTTTTAGTTATAAAGCCCTTTACAGTATTGTCATTTTTTTTCTTTTCGTAACCGCTTCAACCATCTATACACAGCACTTTTTATGCATTTCATAAGACAAATAAATTATGTAAAAAGATAAAATGAAAGATTGTTTTTATTCCAATAACTATAGTTGTAGTTATTTTGAGAACCACTTTAAGGAGGGCAACCATTGTCCCGGCTTTTACGTATGAGAGTGAAGCCCTAAACTAGTTTTAGTAATTTTGACGCTGCGCCCTTCTATATGTCCTAATGTGACAATGGTGAAATAAGATATAATTAGGGTGACCGTTGTCCCGGTTTTTACGTAGGAGAGCGCAGCGCTAAAGTAATTTTAAATAGGTTAGCGCTGTACACACCTACGTAAAAACCGGGTCACCCTATGTGAAAACCTACGTAAAAACCGGTCACCCTATGCCTTTTATATTGTCTTATATTGTTTTATATTGTCATTTTATATTGTTTTTTATATTGTCGTGTATTTCTATGTTTTGTTTATCCTGTCGTTTAACGTGTATTGTTTATATTGTCGGGCATTTTTTTGGGGTGTTGTTGCTAAATATTTTTATTATTGTTGCGTTTTACATTTTTTGCTATAATTCAAGTGATTTCATATTTTTTGACTCATAATTTTTAAATATATTCTTCAGTTTTTTTTTTTTTTTTCTATCATTTTTCTGATCGTTAAACATCTTGTTATCTCATTCATTCATTATATCATATAATAATGAATGAGATAACACGATGTTTAACGATCAGAAAAATGATAGACAATAAAAAAGTAAACAAAAGGATTTATTTAAATATTATGAGACAAAAAATATGAAATCACTTGAATTATAGCAAAAAATGTACAACGCAACAATAATAAAAATATTTGGCAACAACACCACAAAAAAATGCGCAACAATATAAACAATACACATATGAACAGGTAAATATAAAGGATGCACAAAATTACTCGACAATATAAACAAAACATAGAAATACACGACAATGTAAAAAATGCACGACATTTTAAAGAATACACAAAAATACACGGCAATATAAACAATGCAAACAACATAAATTAATAAAACTTGAAGGTTGTTGTTTTTGTTTTCTTTTAACTTATTTAAATTTTTTATTTTTGAATATATTTCGAACATTTTTTCTTTTAACTTTTCTTTTAGTTGTTCTGCTCATTTAATGTTTACCCTCAATTTATTATCTTTAATATTTTCATTGTTATCTCTTTATTATTATTTTTTAAATCTTCTATTCTAAACAATTTTTATTTCTTTATCTTTTTCTTATTTATCTATTTTTCAGCTTTTCGCCGTTAAAAAATAGTTCCTTCTTTCGCGATGTCGTTGCAAAATGTGATAATAAAATTTATATTTTTATTTACTTTGGACAAAGTAGTTTTAACATAATCATAACCTTATTTGTAATCAAAATAGATTACAAATAAGGTTAAATTTATAGTAAAATTACCTTACATTTTTAAAATTTTGTAGTCATAATTTTTTAATTTCGCATATTTTATGTTAAAATATATGTTTTGATATTTGTTATAGAACTTCTTTATGTTGATTTCTTACCGAAAAGTAGTTTAACATTTTAGGGGCCATCCATAAAGGACGTCATCGAAATTTAGGGGGGGGGGGGGAAAGGGGTCGAGTAAAAAGGATAAAAAAGGATAAGGGGAGGGGGAAGGATGTCAGAAAAGGACGTCACTTTATAGATTTTTTATTTTAATTTAATTAACATGGAAAACTACGTAAACATGTGTTTTTTAAAAGATAATGTATGAGAGTATTTTTAATTTAATTTTTTAAAGGTGTAGCAGCAGATTCAAACATCATTGCAAGATGAAATACATTTTTTTGGATTTAAAAATAGGGAGGTGGTCAGGAATTTATGACGTCCTTTTTCAGGGGGTTTAGGGAAAAAGGACAACCGGTGAAGAAGGGGGGGAGAGGGGGTCGAAAATTGGCTAAAAAATGGTGACGTTCACTTTATGGATGGCCCCTTAAGTCATTTTAACTCAATATTAAAAAAAAAAATTGTAGTTAATTATAGATAGTTAATATATAGAGTTAATTTGGATGAAAAGTTTTTTTGTTTAAAATATTTTTAAAATAATTTATGTTTTATTATGCTTTATTTAGATCCGATAGTTAATAATGGATCATTTTTACCAAAACAGATTAGTATTCCGATTCACAGTTTGGTTTTCTGCATTAATAGCAGGTTTTTTAGAAATCTATTTTACGACTCCAATATGCTGGAAACAAAAGAGAACAAAGTTGTTTTACATGTTACCCCTGGAGATATTCAGTATGTGGAATTGGTTATTAATTCATTTTACGATCCTGATATAATTAACAACATTAACACTATTAAATTGTTAAAGGTATTAGAATATGCCGATAGATACTTATGTGACTCACTTCTTAAGCATGGGCTTTCTATCGTCAAAAATATTGTTGTTACAAATTTTGATGAATGTAATTTTTTGTTAGATAAAATAGCTTACTTTGAAAACTATCTTGGACATTTATTAACGAAAGACTTTTTTTTTAACGTCAAAAAATGTTGCAGTCAGTTTCTTACAGAAGCATTTACTCCGCTAGAATGTTGTGTGTATAATAAATCATTAAATGATTTAAATTTTTTAAGTTTTTTAACCTTATTAAAGTCAGATGGTGAGTTTCTTTTCAGTGAAAATAGTGTAGTTACATGTGTTTTAAACTGGTTAGAAGCAAATGAAACACACCAAACAGAAGAAAACATCAAAGCTTTGCTTTCAGAATGCCGGTACGAATACATTGATGTGTCATTTTTAAGAAACGGGTTATGCTACACAAATTCCATTTTTAGCAAATGGTCCGGGTACCTAAATTGGTATATCAACGCCGTTTCTTATCCTTCTATGCAAAACAATGCCGCAGCTACTTCTAAAAGAACTAACAGGCAAAAAAAAATAACTAGTTCTTCAACCGAATTTCGCAACATGGTAAATCATAAAAAGGCTACTAAAAATAATGAACTTTGCCACAAATATGAGCTAAAGATGAAGTACATTGTTGATACAAAAAGATGGATCTCAGATAAAAACATGTTGTACCGTGGTTATGTTTTACAACTTTTTGTTTATGCAACGAATAAGGTAGTGCTGGAATTGATAATAGGAAAAGATAATCAAAAAAAAGAAATGGAAAATTTTATTCTAAAAATTCCTTTTGAAATCCAAATTTCAAATTTTCATGTTTCCCTTCAAGTCAATGCAGGAAATCAAAGTTTTTATGGCAATTGTTATAACTATCAAGAAACTCAAACACATTTTTACAATAATTCTCAGCATAATGCTGAACGAAACTCAAATTTTTACACAAAAAAAGATGTTTTTCAATTTAGCAACAGTAACTTTGCAGATATCTCACTTGGTGAAATTCTAAACTATCAACCTAGAGCAATTCAACATCAAAACGACATGATTGTTGCCATTTACTTTACCGCATAAACTTTAATCGAGGTTTTTAAGACCTATTTTTTTGCATTTTTTTAAATTGTCTTAATTTAAATTGGTTTGTTGCACCTTTACTTTTTCTATTTGGTAGTAATTGTTATTACTGGATGTGGATTTTTGTTATTTTTAATTATTTTTAACTTTATAACGATTTGTTTATGATTTGCCAAAAAACCTAATAACATTATGTATTAAATAAAACATTTATTTAACAGCATAAAATATAACAATTGAACTCAAAACAAAAAATATATATATATATATACGCCTATTTTGCAAAAAAACGAGCACTTACGGGGACATTTTAGTGTACCCGTTAATTTTTTGTCCACGTAAGAATGATTTTTTTTTGCAAAATAATGTACCCATAAGAAACTTTTATAAAAAATGAAAAGTACATACATCGACTGACAAATAGCCTGACTCGCAAGGGAGTGCTGCTACATCGACTTAGGGTTTGGTTAAGCCAGGCATCAAGGTCAGGCTTAGGATTAGGGTTAGGGTTATATATATTTGTATATAAATGTATATTAATATGTCCAGGACATGACATTAAATTAGATAAGTGTTTTTACTAAATTAAATATATATAAATATGTATACATATATACATATATATATATATATATATATATATATATATATATATATATATATATATATATATATATATATATATATATATATATATATATTATATATATATATATATATATATATATATATATATATATATATATATATATATATATATATATATATATATATATATATATATATATATATATGTATGTATTGTTGATTGATTGTTTTTCTATGAATTGCTTGTCTAAATTGCATCTTCTTCATCCAATACTTTAAATGCCTGGTGCTAATTGCTCTATTTATGGATGCAGTACTTCTCGGAGGCATAAGGGAGTTTCAATATTTAAAGTTCCTGCATCTAACGATAGTTTTAATACTTCTTGGAGGGAAAATTTAACAGTCATCATTCTTAAAGATCGTGTTAAAGATATAAATTTGAAGGCTCAAATAGAAAGAAAGTGTCTGTTTATTTGTAAAAAGCATAAAGGTGAGTTTCCACTCATCCGTTTTTTTCACAGGAACGGGAAAGGAATGGGAAAAATAATCACGTGAGCATGCGTAGTTTTCCTTCGGAGATATTAAAACTTATTCTACGCATGCCCACGTGATGATTTTTCCCGTCCCTTTCCCGCTCCCGTGAAAAAACGGATGAGTGGAAACTCGCCTTAATGGTTAGATCACTTGCATTAGATGCAATAGATCTGAGGTTCAATGCCTACTCTGATCATATTATCTGTAAAGTAAGAAACCTTAAAAGAACCTTTTATTTGACACCTATTCAATTGGGCATATGGTGTTATAATTTAATCTTGATTCAGTTCAGCTTGGAGCCTCCTTTATATATATGATCTCACAAAAGAGGACTAGAATTTTTCTCCATAAAAATATAATATTTTTCTAAGACTATAAACTCAAATTGTTTTTTGAATGTTTGTTTTTAGATTTTGATATTTTCAGTCCTAATTTCATTTAAAGTTTTGAATTTGATGAAAATAACTGCACATAAACTTTTTTGTTTTAAATATATTTCGATATAATTATATATTTACAATATTTCGATGACTGTTATTTAAAACAAAAAAGCTTATATGCAGTCATTTTTATCAAATTCAACATATATAAATGTCGTATAACAAGAATTTAAAAGATTTATAGTTTATTATATCTACCTGGGCCTCAAAAGAGCAATAATTTTAAATTAAAACAAATTGCTTAAACTTCTTTTTAAACAAAAATTCTGGTTCTTTTGAAACCCAGGTTGATATACTTTTGAAGAGAAAAAAATTCACTGGGGCCTAGACTGTAATCAAGGGTCATGGTGGGTGATCTCAAAAAATAAATAAAACCAATGACTTGTCAGATACTTTCAAACCAAAGTTCATCTATTTTATATACAGGAAACTGGAGATACCAAAAATTTACCTTAAAGTCAACAGCCTAATATATATATATATATATATATATATATATATATATATATATATATATATATATATATATATATATATATATATATATATATATATATATATATATATATATATATATATATATATATATATATATATATATATATATATATACATATATATATATATATATATATATATATATATATATATATATATATATATATATATATATATATATATATTTATATATATATAAATATATATATATATATATATATATATATATATATACATATATATATTTATATATATAAATATGTATATAAATGTATATAAATGTATATATATATATATATATATATATATATATATATATATATATTTATATATATATATATAAATGTATATATATATATATATGTATATATATATATATATATATATATATATATATATATATATATATATATATATATATATATATATATATATATATATATATATATATATATATATATATATATATATATATATATATATATATATATATATATATATATATATATGTATATATAATAATATGTTATATCAGGAATCAGAGCAGAAAGTTAGTCTGAAAATATTTGTTTATTATATATTCAGAACTGTGTGTTTATTATAACTTTGTTCTACATTTTGATAAGGGTTTTTTGGGGTTAAGGTCTTATGGGTTTTACCAAACAAATAAAAACTTTTTTTTTAATTAATATTTTTTATGACAAATAACAGTGTTACTATGCCAAGTATGCTTTTATGAAATTTGTGGCTATGAAAATAGCCGTTTTTGAATGTGATATTCTATTAAACTATTTATTCCAATCCAATTGATGTCTTTTTCATTTTTGAACGGAGTGATTTTGACTTTGTTTGATTCTCTTTAAGTTTGTGGATACTTAGTTTTTCTTTTGCATATGAAAAAGATCTTACTCTAACATAAAGTGTAACCAGATGATAAAGTAAGTTTAAAGACAGTTCTTTAGATACTTGATTTGTGCAAAGACTACGAAGTTTAGATATGCTTGCCATCACAACGCAGTTTTTTAAAATTTCGGTCACAACCAGTTCTGAATCAATTTTTTTTACAAAACCATTACTTTGCTGGCGAAAGAGAACCTCAACTTTTGTAAAGATTTCAAAGACTGGAGGAGACACTTTCCACAAACCACCTCGATTTTTACCATTAACAAATTTATGGTAAGACTCATTGGATGTTTCAGGATTCTTAACAAAATGTTCTATTTTACCAGCATTAAGAAGTGAAAGGCAGTCTGTGCCTAACTTTTCCTGCCATAACCGTGAACTGCGAATTCTACAATAAAATGTACTGAATACATAACCACTTAGATACGAGAAAATTTCTTTATCTCTATCTGAAAGTTCAACAGACGATAAATCATTTAAATTTATAAAAAAATTATTGTAAAATGAGTTTGTAAGAAACGCTCAAACATGATTGCATAGTTCATAGCCAAGAAGTCTAGTTGTTTTTTTAGTCAGAATGTTATTGAAAATTCCTTTATCACATTTAATACTTTTGTAAAATTGAGGATAAAATTTTTCTGCATCGCCATTAGATTTAAAACCAGCTATTGTTATCTCTAAAACAGATATAGTTTGTTGTGAAGTTTCTAATAGCATTGCATGATTAATTTATAACTCGTTTCTATACAAATCAGGACAGCATTCGTCGTCAATTAAGGTAGTAATGCTTTTATCGAGTAGATTTTTAAGTTCGCTAAGAAGAATAAGTGGTTTAGAATTTTGTAATGTTAAATTAGATGTAATGTTAGAGCAGCCGTGGCGCAGTGGTAGCGCACTTGTTTCAGAAACGTAAGATCCATGGTTCAAACCCCACCTCTGGGCAAGTTTTGCGTCATCGGTTGGGATGGAGGCGAGAACTTCCTATTAAATGCTCATCCGCGGTGCACTGTGATAAGACCGTAAGGACTTCTTGGGGCACCTAAATCAACATTAAAAAAAAAAAAAAAAATCCAAAGGAATACTTTGATGTTTTGAATTTGACTGCCTTGTTAGGCCTCTTTGAGATATGCACTTCTTAGAGCAAATTGTGCAAGAAAATGCACTTTTAACTGATTCACTAGACAACTCCAACACCAAGGCGTCTAAATCCTTATTAAAATTTTCGTCTTCAAAAAGAAAATCATTTTCCAAAGAAAAAAATAATGTTTCAATAGCAAATTCACCATTGAAATCTATGTCCGTTTCCATATTTTGTGCACTCTGTTCCCGGCCGTTCGACAGTTTTTAAGTGTTTTTAACGAATATTAGAAAAATCGCAAAAAAAAAAGCGTACGTACTTTATGGACGGCCTCATTCAATAAGTCTGAAGGACCACGATTGTTTGTAATTTTTGCTTTTGAAAGTTGTTGTTGTTCTGTGTAAGTTATGTGTTATTCTTTTTTGTGTGTGATTTGATATAATAATATATTTCCCGCTATTTATTTTTTTTCTCAAAAAAATCGGTAAAAGCCTTTTTTTTTTGGAAATTCAAAAATCGGTTTTTCAAAAAGTTGGTTTTTGTATAAGCCCTAATAATGCTGGACTATTTAGGTTAAATAATGTTATTTCAAAAATATTTGTAAGATTTCAAATGAATAAAATTAATCTTAATACAAAATAAATTACTTTTTAAAAAGCTATTATATTAATGATATATAAATAAATAAAATTGTATTTGTACATGGTTGCTAAAAACGAGCACCTCGGCGCAACACAGTTGAATATTATTTGAAGTAACCGAGGCGAAAGGATAGAGTTCTAGCTGATAACCAAGAGTTTCGTGGTTCGACGCCAGTTCTAGCCTATTAAGCTAAAATATCTTAGTCTTTTATTTCGAATTTATATATTTAAATTTTAATTTATTTGAATATTTGAATAAATTCTACTTATTCAATTACTCATAATTTCTCTTTTGAATTTTTAAACGACTTAATGTTATGTTCAATTAAAAACTGTAGTGATGGATATATTTAATGAACATAAAGTGTATACAGAATATAAATTTATATAAAGAGCATAAATTTATTTAAAAAATATAAAGAACAAAAAAAATGTTATAGCTCATGAATTTCCATAAATGGAAAATGAGCGTCATCAGGTTTAGCGAGATCAGATAAGAAACAAGCTGTTCCTGCAATCCCTTCAAAAAGACTATAAGGAGCATCTGGAACTCTAGAGTTTGATTTAAACTCTTCGGTTTGCATAAAAGCAGCAAATTGTCGTGCTCGTCGTAAATACTTCTCATCGCGAGTTAATCGAAAAAGTAGAAGAAAAGCGTAACCGTTTCCTAAAACACCGTATAATTAAATATCACTCCCAGCCAGAATTCATGATAACTATATATAGCTGACCCAGAGAAATGGCTGGGTGCATATGAAAGCCCTTGATGTCTGGATTTCAAAAATATAATATTTGAAATCCAACTATTTCGTCTCGGAAAATAAAATGAGTTTTTATTTTTATTATATTACAGCAACTAGACAAATGACAGCATACCCATTTTTTGCATTTTTACAGTAAAAAATTTAAGTGAGTTATAATTTTATTATTACATAACTAAAACATTGTTTTTTTGTTTTTGAAAAAGGAGCATACCTGTATTTCTTACATAAAATGATTTTTTGTTATTATTGGTTTTAAAATTATAGGAAAGGGCTATTCTCAATACATCAAAACAAAGAGCCACTCATTTTTACGATTTTGGAATCATTTGGTCTTTCAAAATGCCCAATCAAAATAAAACTCACAAAGATTGCCGGAAAACTGTGTTTCTTGTGCTTGAAAAAAAGCACAAGGACAATTTCACCATCAATGGCACAGGAAATTTCAAGCTTGTTTGAACAAAAGATCAACTTTGAAGATGAACGAACGCCAATTGGGATTTGTGAAGGATGTCGTTCAACACTGCGCAGAACACTTGATGGAAAAGAGGTTGTCATGCCAAGACTCTATGACTTTGAAACCATCAATGTCAGGCGACCTGCAAGCGGACTGATCTGTGATTGCATTATATGTCAAGTTGGGCAGCTGAAGCTAAATGAATCCCATCCTCTTGAAAAAGTCAGAAAAATGACAACAAGTGAAGAGAAAGCTGTGAATAAAAATTCAACCTCTGACCACAGATGTTCCAAATGCCTCTCGGTTCTGGGCAAAGGAATTTCTCATGAATGCACTGAAGCTAAGTTTCGTGAAAATATGAGATTTTTGGCATCAAATGACAGCACAGTTGCTCAACAAATTGCAGCTTCTGCAATAGCTGGCACAGATGCTTACCCTTAAGGAACAATTCGTCTGGCTCAAGCAAAAGGTGGACGACCTTTACCTGTCACCCCAGGTAAAAATGACTTTATTGTAGTATAATTAAATGTGTTCAATTTTATTAGTTCTCAATGCCAAAAATGTGGTCAATTCTTGAGAAAAGTCAATTACTTTAATTGTGACAACTTGTAAAGTTTAAAATAAAATTGCCAAAATATTTACTTATAGGTCCTTCAAGTGCAAGAAGACTCTTTGGATCAACATCCTTAGTTACTGCAGGGGATCTCGTTCAAGTGCAAATCAATACTGGATTGTCAAACACAAACGTGAAAAAGTTAGCGACAACTTTGAACCAAGTTTCAGCAGTCCGAATTACTGAGCCAAACATTCGCTCCAAATTTTCTGCATTAGGAAACTTACTTGCCGGATTTTTTAATCAAACAGATATTCTACCTAAACAAGGCAATGGAGTTATTGGCAAGAAACTTGTAGTTCACTGTAAAGATCTGCAAGAACTGATAAATGAAGTTCTTTTGTCACGAAAAGTCTTCAGCAAGCCACTAATCAAACTTGGCATTGATGGTGGTGGTGGGTTTCTGAAAGTCACACTGGGAGCTATTGAGAAAATGCCTTGTGAAGATGATCCTCCTCCATGTAAGAAAAACTTGACTACAAACTCTTCCAAAGATAGTGGCTGCAATCGTCAGCTTATCATTGCAATTGCTGAAGATTTATTTGAAACCTATTTGAATGTCCAAAATGTTCTGTCTCTCATCAAGCCTAACCCTAAGGATTTTGTTGTTTCTTGTGATCTGAAGCTGGCCAACATCCTCTGTGGACTTCAGTCTCACTCATCACCACATCCTTGCACGTGGTGTGATGTCCCATCAAATAACCTTGCACAATCTGGAAATCTTCGCACCTTTGGGTCTCTAAAATCATCCTGTCAAGCTTTTGATGCTGCAGGACGTGACATGAAAAAGGCAAAAGAATTCGGAAATGTGGTTCATCCTCCATTACTTGCTTTGGATGATGAGCAATTGGTTTTGGATCTAATTCCACCTATGGAATTGCATCTGCTGCTTGGAGTTGTCAATCACCTCTTCAAGATCTTGATGTCAATGTGACCACATGCTGAAAAGTGGCTAGATGCTCTTCACATAAAACAACAACCTTTCCACGGAGGAAAGAAGCTATGCACCATCACTTTCATCAACACTGTCAAAGATACAAGAGACCATCAACCAATCCAGAATATGGAAGGCAACTTCAAACATGCATAGTTGACTTTAACAGCAAGCATCTTTAAAGGCAGTTTTGAAACAGGAGCAAAAGACTTATTTCAAGAATTAAAAAAGTTTTGCATTATTTTTGTTACAGTCTTTTTGTTAGAATGTATTATTGTTTATTTTTATCAAGCCAGTGCTGTAAAATGAATGAATACATATGATATCATTGAAGAAATAAAATTATCACTAACTCAAATTTTTTGATGCTGTAAAAATGCAAAAAATGGGTATGCTGTCATTTGTCTAGTTGCTGTAATATAATAAAAATAAAAACTCAATTTATTTTCCGAGACGAAATAGTTGGATTTCAAATTTTATAATTTTGAAATCCTGACATCAAGGGCTTTCATATGCACCCAGCTATTTCTCTGGGTCAGCTATATACAGTTATCATGAATTCTGGCTGGGGGTGATATATTACTTCAATTAAAATATATCAACATAATAAAAAATGTTTAAAAATAATAAAAATATTTAAAAAAATAAAATGTTTACCAGCAATTCCATGACACAAACCAGGACCCTTCCTAAGCAATCCTTTTGCCCAAATAACTTCTCCACAGCGTAAAGCAGCATCTAAGTACTTTTGTTCTTTCCAAATCATATAAGATTTTACCAAAAGATAAATAACACCTGGAGCACCGTGACACCAATGAATAAGCTCGTTCCAGTCATCTCGAGTTTCATTGGCAACTGGTGGGTAATTACCGTTTTCTTCACAACGAAGAAGATAATCCACTGACATTTTTATATCTTTTTCAATATCATGTTTTGCCACATAACATGGTGGAAAATTCAGAAGCATTAAAAGTATAGAAGCTAAACCATGCCCAGCACCTAACAAAAAATTCAAGTAAATAATACCTTGATTGTTTATTGTTTATTATTGCGGAAACGTTTTTAGTTATTTCTTTTTTAAGTTAAAACTATTTAATTATCATTTTCTGATTATTTTGAAGAAAATTCTTATGTAAAATGATGTATTTATTTTGAACGTATAATGATGTATAATGATGTAAAGTAATTAAAAACAAAAAGAAAAAGAAATTAAAAAGAAAATATTAAAAAAAAAAAAAATATTTTTTTAACTCTTGGTATTAACGTACCAAGATACTCTGTTTCATAATAAGAATATAAAAGTGGACATTCGTGGTGGAAATATTGAGACATTCGTCTGCCACTTTCGATTATCACACTGCACAAAACTTGAATCATGTCATTTGACACTACCATTCTGCGTAAATGTTTATTGATAGTGTACGCAGCAGCTAGATACCCTGCCCTACCTACAAACAACTCATCAGATCCATGCTTAAAAAATTGAATTGGTTCACAATATTTTTGCATACTAAGAAACTCTTGAATACTTTCATTACATTGATTATGAAGACCTGAAATGTGCAAACAATCATAGGCATTTTATAAATAATAAAACTTTTATTTACAATAAAATACAATATATAATGAAATAAACAAAGTAAATTAAAGTAAATCAATTAAGATAAATACCTCAATAATTTTTGCATATACAAATTAGACACTAGATAATCGGTATTGAGTCTCGGTTCATTGTCTGATATCAATGCGATACCTTACAGAATCAATATCAAGATCAGTGGACACTAGATAATCAAGTCACAGTTACTGTATTGGTATCGATACCACGAAATACTGGTAAAAGTATTGATATATTGTATGTCGGTATTATGTCGGTATATTTGATACCGATAGTATTATTTGGTATCGCAGCTCGGTTTTCACAAGAATTTTAACTTTTTTTTATAATTGATTAGTTATTTAAAATAGTAAATTTATATAAAAACTGAGATGTATATAATTGACTCATTTAGTATAATAGAAAATCTCAAAGATTGTGTGGTATCGTATGATGTCATATTTTTTATTTAATTTCTCATCTGGTATCATTATTTTAATTTAAATAATTGAGTGGTATCGTATCTGTATCTTAATTTCTCATCTGGCATCAATATTTCAATTTAATTAATTGTTTGATAACCCAATTTTCCCCATGTATAGTCTAAAGTTCAAAAAGTCACATCTTAATTTTTTTTTCTTATCAAGTCTGTTTCAGATCGTATGGTATTGACATTAGTATATGAGCAATATCACACAATATGAGACCATCATTCATGGTATTGACTTACACAATACTGATTATCGTGTGTCGAATACAAATGCAATCAAAATAAATTATTCTAACAATGTTATTAACAAACAATTGAAAATAAAATAAATTATTTTAACAAGTTATTAACATACAATTAACAAAATACCTAAAGCATCACACACCATGATACTAACTGCATACACCCCAAGATGACCAAGAAGTAATGATGCCCCTATTCCATTTCTACTTGGGTCCATCTTTTTAATCTCGTTTAAACTGACCTATTCATATATACTACATATATATAGAACCATGGATGTTAAACTTTATGTGTATGTGTGTGTGTGTAAATATATTTATACACAAACTTGCACACACACACACACACACACACACACACATAAGGCAGTCCTGCTACTCCAGAAGGTGCTGCTGTGGGGTCAAAAAAAAAAAAGAAAAAAAGGAAAGAACATAGCTAGTAAAAACTTTAAATTTTATATTAACAATTAAAATTTTTCTTTAAATTAGTTATATTTATTTTTTTGCTATAAATATAAATGGCAAAAATGAAAAAAATTGAAAATATGTTGTGAAAAACAAACCATTTTATAAACTCTTATACCAATAGCAATTAATTCATCAAGTGGGTTCTCTAAGTTCTAAATCTTTATTGCATAGGAATAAAGTTGCGCCTATATATAAACAATATATATAAACACATGTTATATGCAAACGTGAAAAATTCACTTATATAACGTTTTATAGAGGATTGGGTGTAAAAATTGACAAGATTGAAAAAACACGAAACATTGTCTCATCCAAGTAGAAATATTGAAATTTTAATTTTAGATTTACCCCTCTCTTAATAATTTATCTTTTTCTTAAACCATTAAATATGATACATGAGACTTTTACATAAATTATTGAAGCCTAAATTTATTTTTGCATGTGACCTTACTTTGGCAAAAAACTAGAAAAAACAAGTTAAAAATAAAATTTTATTTAAATTTTTTAGGAAAGTTCTTTTTATATATAGAATATATTTATAGAGGATATATTTTAATAAAGACTAAATATAGTAATTACTATGCTATTTCTTTAAAACTATTTATTTATTACTATTGTAATAATTACAAACTCTTATCCGTGAATTAATACCTGTACCAGTTTTATATCTTTTTGTGCAATTGTATGCACCATAATTAAAATTAATCAAAAAATGCAAGATAAATGCAAAAGCAAACTTGATGTATAAAAGTTTTTTCTGCCACAAACTGACATCGCTGTGCAAAATTTTTTTGCTTAAACTATTAGATTAGCGTTTTATAGCTAAGGTCATGTCTATAGTTTTTAATGGTTAAAGATCTTCCTAGTTCTATCATTTGTATAGCGTTATGTACAAACGTCTATAAGCGTAAATGTCTTTAGAATATGTTGAGTTAGCAGGCATTATATGAAACAATCGTGTATAATAAATCTATAAAATAAGAAAATTTTAAAATTTTATTTTAACAATTACAAATCTTTTTTGCTAAATTATTATGTATAAAAAAAAAGTATGGAAAAGGTTGGTTTAGAAAAGACTTACAAAGACCTGTATTTTTATGGGTTTGGTCAACTAGTATTTATGAACGGTAATGTTCTCGATGAGTCATTTACCTTTTCGTCTTCTAAGATTAACTCTTACTTCCGATCTTTCTTGTTAACCATATATTAAATCAATTGCAAAATTAGCATCTGCTAAGGTTGCATCTCTTTATCGTCCTTGCAAGTTTCTTACTTCAGATTTTTTTCTCTCAATAAGTTTATCGGATTTAAGATTTATCTCACTAAATCTCAAATTCATTCTTGTGTGGAAAATTGTTGCCATATCTGGAGTAGATCTTCGAATGATGCCCTTTCTTTTTTAAACAAGGTTTAAAAAATACATTGAAAACATAATTGGACCTGGTTTCATTCTCATGTTACTTATCATTCAATTAGGTCTCATCCTTTTACAGTGACTGTTCCTAAGTGCTCATAAAATCTTATTTGTCTAGTTTTTTTCCTTGAACATCAGTTCATTGGAATTTGCTTCCATCATCTTGTTTTCATGATTCATATAATTTGCAATCTTTTAAGTTGTCTGTTTAAAAAAACTTCATCTTTTCTCTTCCAACGTAAATTAGATATTTGCATACACTTTCGTTGACTTTGCTTATAATAAAAAGTACTGTGTCAAACACGCTCGAATGAGTACTGTTAAGTTCTTTATTATAATATATATATATATATCATATATATGCGTGTACTAATAAAAAATCAGTTTAAGAATATCATATATCAAGCTACCATAGCAACTAACACTGATTAAAAAAACAGCCTTTGCTTTTGAATACTATATACAAAAATGTCTCCCATACAAATCAAGATTTAAAGAAAATTCTTTTTGAATAAGTGAAACTTCTTTTATACTGTGGCAACCATTTAAAAACATTAAACATAATTATATACATATATATATATATATATATATATATATATATATATATATATATATATATACATTTATATATATATATATATATATATTTATATATATATATATATATTTATATATATATATATATATATATATATATATATATATATATATATATATATATATTTATATTATATATATAATTATGAATATATAATATATAATATTAAATACTTTAATGCTGTAGCTTATAATATATATTATAAGTTACAGCATGAAAGTATTCAACTTTTTTCAAAATTTAATTCCAAGTAGAGTGACGGTTGTATCATTTACTTTTTACCACTTCTGAACAAAACAACTTTGTCAGACTTAATGCTGCGAACAGGTTAGTGAAAAAAAAAAACCTTTGGTGTGTGTATTTAGCACATATTAATGTTATTATATACTGAGTTTCATAGTTTTAATTTGAAGTTTTAAAAGCATTTTTTTGTTTTTTTTGTCGTGACGGACATAATGAAAAATCCAATGCTTAAAAACAACAAATATAACAACACAATCAATGATGTAAAAAAAAAAGTATAAATAACTATTTACAACCATGTATATTATGTTAAAAAAATGCAATATAACATCAAAGTTTTCAATTATGGATACACGATACAATTTTTAACGCTACACGACAGGGTTGTAAATTAACGTCAAATCACGTTTATACAACCCTTACAACTTTAAAACCATGCTGTGGTATGATAAAATGATTTTTTTTTATTACTTTTTTGCTTATAAGTATTTTAAAATCATTAAAAAAAAGAGTTTTGGAGTTTAGTATGTGTTTTCATAACTTTTTCACTTTTTTTTTCCCCCTCTTTCTCGCGGAATTGCCCATATATATATATATATATATATATATATATATATATATATATATATATATATATATATATATATATATATATATATATATATATATATATATATATATATATATATATATATATATATATATATGTATGTATATATATATATATATATATATATATATATATATATATATATATATATATATATATATATAGTGTCTTGCATGGTAGTCAGAAAGTTTTTCCCATAAACTCTTGTTTTAAAGAGTGCGTTAATAAGCCTGACCAGAAAATGTTAAAAAACTTTTTTTTAGTCTATCATTTGAAAAAAAAAATTTTTCAAATGATAGACTGCCTGCCCATACCAAACCCTCAGTCGATGTAGCAGCAATCCCTTGCGAGTCAGGCTATTTGTCAATTGATGTAGCAACACTCCGTTGCGAGTCAGGCTATTTGTCAGTCAATGTAGCAGCACTCCGTAGCGAGTCAGGCTATAAGATAGTCGATGTAGCAACACTCCCTTGTAGCAGCAGGCTATAAGATAGTTGATGTAGCAACACTTATGCATGTTTTAAAATGTTTTTTAATAAAACAAAAACAAAAAATCACCACTAATTAAAAAAAACTTTCTAGTCATTATTATTGCGGTTTTTTTTAAAAAAAATAAAATTTAATGTACTTTCGCATTAATTTAATTGCTTTGACATTTCGACGACAATAAAATGCAGCTTAAGAGACAAAGTAAAAAAATTGTAGTTGAAAGAGAGTTTTTTTACCATAAAAGTCTTTTTTCACTACACTATAAGGATATATACATATATATATATATATATATATATATATATATATATATATATATATATATATATATATATATATATATATATATATATATATATATATATATATATATATATAATACTGTAATCTCTTCATATAATACTATAATCTCTTTGGAAATTTGGGGCCTAAAAGATAAGAACCATACATTATTAAGTGGAAAATTGTTAAATACCAATTTATACAACATGTTATTAAAGATTAGCAACTTTCACCTTGAAAAGAAATTCCAAATTTTACCCTGCAATAAAAGAGAGAAAAAATCAAAAAAAAAAAAAAAAAAATTACTATGGAGTATATAGATAAGTATACTATGGAGTATATAGATGGAGTATATAGAAAAAAAGTTAATTTACTATGGAGTATATAAAAAAAAAACAGTTAATTTACTATGGAGTATATAGATCAGCAATTGCTTACTCTTTTTGCTTATATATATAGCATATGACTTTTTCAGAAAAAGTAGAAAAAAACAAAGAAAGCTATTTTAGTATGACACCACACTGCTTATCTAAACACAAATTTATAGTTATATACACACAATGCTTTCAAAAAAAGACATTAAAAAAGATAATTTTTTTTTTGTCTTAAGTTTATTTCAAATATCATAAAATAGAAACTATAGAAGATATTGATTAGATTTATTTGCAAGAGAAATTTACATTTTTTAAAATCTTGTATCTTGATGACATGCTAAAACATACAATAACATATTAAAACATCAAACATAATAAGAAAAACTCATTAAAAGTCACTAAAAACAGCAATAATGAAAACAAAACAAAAATATAACAACAAAAATAAAGATTTAAACGAACATTTAAAATAATCCCCACATGCTTTTTTGCAAGACATACATTTTTTTGTATAAATTTTAGATTCAGTTTCAGCTGGAACTCTTTTACAAATGGTATCTAGCTCTTGCGTTAAGCTATTTACAAATCTTATTCAGACCATGACCTATTTTTTTTCTCCAATCAAAACAAAACAAATTTGACTGGATTCAAGTCAATGAACTGGTCATGATAATAAACCTACTGTTTCTTTCATCCGAGCCAAGCCATAGCCTTGAGTGTGCAAGATTATCAATAAATTTTAAACAAGACTCAATATGTAGAAATTTGATGACGCTGATCACAATAGATCAGCGAAATAGATCAGCGAAATAGATCAGCCTGATGACGCTGATCACAATAGATTAGCGAAATATTTATTTATTAATATATATTTTAAAAAAAAGTTTATACACAGTTGTATTTATTAAAATTTACAATTTATATATATATATATATATATATATATATATATATATATATATATATATATATATATATATATATATATATATATATATATATATATATATATATACATATATATATATATATATATATATATTAGGGATATGACTTTTTTTAACTTTTTATACAATTTGGACAACCCCATATTATTTTTGGATGAGTTTTTGCTATAAACCAATGAAGAAATGTTTATTTTCCTTCAAGTCTCTTTATTTTTTTCATCAAAAAAAATCATGTGAAATTTCAAGATTCGCATAAAAGTAGACAGTTTCCAATGTTAGAAACATCTTTTCAAGAATATTCCAAAATGCCATTAAAAAATGATATTGTTAGCAGGTTTAAGTATTTGTCTAGTACTGATGTGAAAGCCAAAAAGCAAAGGATAGATCTTATTTCAGAAGAAGTTATAAGTTTGTGGAAAGAACAATTAAATTTCCCATGTCTGACAGAGCAGTCAGTGAAGCGAAAGATTAATGATGTTATAGAAAAATATGAAAGCCTCAGAAAAAAAGGGAATGCCGACCTTCTGCAAAAAGAGATTTTTGATATAACAAATCAAAATGGCATTTGGTTATCATCTGAAGATAAAAGATTTTATGAAATTCAGTTACAAAGCAAAGGAGAAATTGGATATGCTACTTCAAACCTGGCAGGAAAGAAGACTATTCATCCATCAATTGTGCAAAAACTTTCCAGCCAACCTTCAGCATCTAAAAGTTTTTCTTCATTTACTGAAAGTAGTAAAATAGAAAAAGACAACTCTAGTTCCGAATTTGAAGAAACTGATGAACAATTTGAGATGAATAATGAAATTACAGATGAAGAATATAATAATTTGAAGAAAAGACGTAAAAAATATAGTAGTTGTAAAATAGCAACAAAGTTAGTGGTTTGTGCTAAGGTATCAACTAAGAAAGCTTCTAAAATAGGTAAAATACTGTCCTCAGAAGGCATACATGTTCCAGCGCCATCACAGTCTGGAATATACAAGGCTCTTTTTAATGCTCTTAAAACAATTTAAAGAAACTTTAATTCAAGATTTAAAAAAACAAGGCTCTTAAAACAATTTAAAGAAACTTTAATTCAAGATTTAAAGAAAGAGAATTGGAGTCTACACTTTGATGGAAAGCATATAGACCAATGGGAGTATCAGGTTGTCGTTCTTAAAAATGAAAGAAGCGAAATAAAGTTGGACGCACTGAAGTTAATAGATGGAAAATCTATCACTATTACTAATGCCATAGCTGATATTATAGATGAATTTAAACTATGGAATTCAATTAAAATGATTGTGACAGATACTACAAATGTCAATACCGGAAAGAAAAATGGTGTTGTTGTAAAACTTCAGGACATTTTTCAAAAAAAAAGGATTACAAAAACCTCAATTTGTACCATGTCAACATCATATCTTGGATAGAATACTTAGACTAGAAATGGAAGAAAAATTGGGAGAAAATCCGAACTCACCAAACATTAATTACTTTTTTACTAACGAGATGTTAGAACATTATGAAACACTGAAGACAAATTTTTATAATGGTACAGAAGAAATAAAAGACACAGTAGGATGGCGAGATGACATGAAGTTTCTGTTTCATCTGACGAGAACCTACCGATACTATGACCAAAATAAAATATTTCCTAATGTAAGATTTCAAAAAATCCCTAATATCAGTAATGCTTGGTGGAGTTCAAAAGCTATTTTAGCGTTGTTAGCCTACATTCTTATGCCAAAAACAAGAAACAAACTTGAATCTGTATGTACCTTTATTTCTTACAAGTAGGCAGACTTTTGGTTTGACGACCAAACCTATAAAGAAAACACTTATTCAGACCTTCATGAAGTTTTATTAAACAAAAAGAAACCTCTTGCTACATTTACAAGTCATTGGAATCCAGAACCATCAGCAATCAACATTCCCAGAAGTAATCAATGTGCTAAAAGAGCAATTAAAGTAATGGAGGAGCTTTATAGATTGTGCAGAAATAAAGACAATCTTCCACTTCGTTTCATTTTGTCTAATAAACAATAACTGTATGTATTTAAATTGTATAAAATGTTTTTTCCTGCATTGAATATAACACTATGCCATGTATTAATTGTTAGAATAAATTATGTTTTTTTATAGAATCATATGAATGAACATGTTTGCAAATAGAAATGATTTTGGTCATCAATTTTTTTTAAACCTTTTTAAATCTTAATGTGCTTTGGGGCGTGACATTTTTTTTGAACATCGTGAAAGTATTAATATTTTCGCATTTTATGCGTAAAAACTCATCCATTTTTGGGCCAGGGAAATTTTTTTAAAAAAAGTCATATCCCTAATATATATATATATATATATATATATATATATATATATATATATATATATATATATATATATATATATATATATATATATATATATATATATACATATATATATATATATAATATATATATATATATAATATATATATATATATATATATATATATATATATATATATATATATTTGACAACTAAAAAGTAAATAACAAAAGTTACCTTGGCATACTTCTCTGCAGCTAATAGATACTCTGATTTTTTATCATCACCTGTTTGAGCAACATGATAAAAAGCATAAGCGATTCCAGCTGCCCCAACATAAAGACCTCCTTCACAATTTTCAGGTGTAGCAGGACTGTTTTTGCTGATAATTTGTAAAAGAGTTGAAACATAATTTCTTTGTGATGACACTAATACATCAGAATCCTCCTGGAAATTATGATTAAGAATTTATAAAAATATTTATTCAAAATTTAAAAACAATAAAAAATAATAAACATAAGTAAGTAAAAAAGAAATACAAAGAACTCTCTTTACAAAAAAAGGATTTTTTGATTTGCAATACAAATTTGTAAAAACTTAAAAGATAATTTAAATATTATTACAAACATTAACTTAAATTAAAAAAAAGCTAAAATTTTACCAGCAATAAGAGTTCTAAATATATATCATTTATAAAGAAACAGCACCTGATCAGAGAGAGTGTTATCAAAGTACCTTGGGTGTTGCATCTTGATAATTTCAATGTAACATCTATAAATGCTAAAAGCTAATCATAAAAAATAAATATACTCCATATATAAAGTTATAACATAATTATATATATATATATATATATATATATATATATATATATATATATATATATATATATATATATATATATATATATATATATATATATATATATGAAAAATGATGTCAGGAATAATTTGCTGATCCTAATCTGTTAGAGGTTGACATTAGGTTGGCAAAAAAAACTTAATACAAAACTTTTAACATAAAATATAAAAACAAGGTTAGCAATTTTTTGCTGACTAAAACTTTTCTAGATCAGCATTGCCGAATGCTGACCCTAATTCTGAGGGCTATATATATATATATTTTATATATATATATATATATATATATATATATATATATATATATATATATATATATATATATATATATATATATATATATATATATATATATATATATTAGGGTGGTCCAAAATTATAAATTATTGAAATTCATTTCTCCACAAGGCTGCTTTTGTTCCTATTAATATTTGCAATATTGTAGCCAAATTTGAAGCAAATCGGATAATATTTAGGGGTTGCTATAAATTTTGACTTTTTGACCACAATGATAAAAAAATCAAAAAATTTAAGTTTTCACTATAAATATAATATCGAATTTAAAAATTAATGCCACTAACAATTTAAATCAGGTCAATAGAATGCCTGTAGAGTATCTAATGAATATAGATCATCAATTGATCAATTTTTATTAAAGTATATCAACGTTTCGTAACTTTCGTAATTTTTAAACAAAAAACTGTAATATCAAGAATATTGTGAATATGTTGAAAAATGTATGTTTATTAATCAACGATTTCGTCATCTATCGCCAACATGGCTGCCTTGGATGAAGTAGGGTATAGCTGGCGGTGACGTTGAACAAAATGAAGTAGGAACTGCTTTTGTTCTTCATCCTTTGTAATCGATTCGTTGTACTGTCCAATTAATGCAATTCCACGTTCTGCGCTGTCATTAACAACTTTCATTCTTTGGACTCTCTCTGCCAACTTCTGATATGATTCATCGTCCTCCCAATATTTAGGATCTTTTGAAATGAAGTTTCTGGCCTCCTCTCTCCCTGTACTGCTCAACAACTCGAATAAACTATAGGTTCTCATAGTCACGAATGTCTCTAGTCTGTTGAAGTCGGTATTCTTGGAATCTACTCTCTTCAGTGCTAGAGTTGTCTTGAGCAGTTGGAGGTTAACCACCATGGCCCTCTTCACATCCAGATCAACGCGACTATCAAAAAATGCCAGACCTATAAGATGTTCCGAGAAGAACCAAAGGTGTCGAGAAAATGCAGTAAAAGCTGCATCGGCGATTGTGCGGTTTGGATACTTTTGGAACTGTTTCAGCATTTGAGCATCATTAAACGGAGCATTTGCAGCCAGTGGAGCTTCGTGCCAAAAACGTCCGTAAATTAATGCCACAAACAATGCAAGTTCTACTAGACCTTTCTTCTCTCAAACAGTCAGAGTGAGCTGATCTTGAAATAGTACTATTTTCAGAGTGTTGATGGCCTTTGACATCCATCGAGCATGATGCATCGCTCCTGGAGCTCGAAATTTTATCTCAGCACCAACAGAGCCTCCCCCTAGAAAGACCAGGCATAACCGAAGTAGTTCAAGATAATCTTCCCTAGGTTGTTTTTCGTCGATGGCTCTGGTGTAGAATGCTACCATTTCCTTTCGAAGGATTTCCATATCTCCGATGAAGAGCTCATCTTTAGCTGGAGAGAATCTCGCTTGCTGAATATATGGCCACTTCTTCTGAAACCGTTTGAACAAGCCAACCTCAGGTCCCCCTGTTCCACCAAAGAGAGCTGTAAAGACATTGCTCAGAATGACCTCCAGAACATGGTGGCGGCAACCAATATTTACAAGATCACGACCAACTGCTTTCTTGATGAGAACACAAGCTCCTTTGTGGATACCTGTGTTGGACGAGGTTGTGTCAAAGACTAAACCCTGAAGTTTGTCTCGAATTTTCCAATCATCCAAGATCTTTAAACAAGCTGCTGCTTGTTCCTCTCCTGTTCCTCTTCCAATTTTTGGAACTGCTAGGAATTTCTCCAAACCATTTCCAGTTACAATCACTGCAATTCGGTCCACGGTTTCTTTTGAACCGGTGATATCTGGAAGCAGTTTCCCATCCCAGTGTAGAAGCAAAGGAAATTCAATGAAAAAGTTGTCTTTGTCATTCTGAGTCACGTGTTTACGGGTAGACATTCGAGATCTCCTGATTGTACTTCGAGACAGAGTTAAGTCTGCAAGAAGATGTCCCAATGCCTTAGCCACTAAAGCGACAACGAACATAGCTTTGCGATCTGGAAGGTTAACTGTGTCCAAAGCTCCAGCAACTTCCGGGCTGGAAACAATACTCTTCAGACGCTTTGGCTTTGGTGTAGAAAAAACAGATTGCGATGCAGAAGACAGAATCTCAAAACTTGGGTCGTCATCGCTGTCTTGACTGTCTTCTGAGCTGCTGATGTTGGCTGAGACAGGATCGAGATGACCACTGGAGTGTTGCTGTTTTGATAACCTTGCATCATATGCTTGATCTCGAGCTCTTTTCCGGGCTTCCTTTGCCAGTAAGTTCTTATCAATTCCAGCCATGCTGCAGCCGGTAACATCTTCTCGCTGCATTGCAAGAAATTGCCTATCTTCAGCAATGGTTATTGTCTCCATTGCGGTTTTAGTTGCCAAGTCAAAAAGCTCGTAAAGTGTGTCTTTGAACATCTGTTCTTTAATTCTACTGCTTTCCAGGTCTGTAGTTCGATTCTTTTTTAGGAGCAGATAGGAATCGTATAATTTCTGAAGTTTTCTTTCACCAGAATCAATTCTTTGTGTTGGGATTCTTGCCTTATTCCACATAACAACCAGCTCTTGAATCGTATGGTGAATGCTGTCCTTTATTGTGAGATGCTCTTCCAGATGATGAAAGAGGAGACACCGGAGGACATCTCCATTTGTTGCCAATCTTGACGAGGAGAGCTGCTTAGATGCTTTCCCAATGAGCCATACCTCTGCAGAGCTTCTTGTAGTAACTGCCATAAGTGGTGTAATATATATTTTTATTATTTATTAATTACCTGCAGAAGTTTAAGTTGAAATGATTCTTTGTTCTTCAACTATTTAATTTTATATAATTAATATTTAGTACTTTATATTATTAACAGAAATGAAAAAACATTACTGAAAAACATAATTTGTTTTGAAATATTGCAGACATGTGCTTAATACAAGATGGTCACTTAATCATGTGACAATTGATAAAAGATATTAGATATATAAATGAATTTTTAGAGCATATTCTTTTTGAAAACTATTTAATTTAATAATAATTTATTTGTAATTCATTATATTAACTATATAATAAATATATATATATAAAATATAATACTTAAGTATAAGAATATTTGTTACCAGAAATAAAAAAATAATCCTTATAAAATTTTTATTGAAATACTGCAGACATGTGCTTATTACAAGATGGCCGCCAAATCATGTGACAATAGACAACTAAAAGATATTAGATATATAAATGAATTTATATAGCATCTGCTTTTCAGCAAGCATTAATTTATTTACCACAATGTTGAGATAGATGTTCAATTATGCAAAACTCACACAAAAATTCGTAAAAATTGAGTACCGTCAAAAAAATGTTGAAATCATAGCGACCCCTAAAACTGTTCAGATTGGTCCAATTTTTTGTATGGTTATTCCCTAAGCATAGTGGAACAAAGTTAGGCTTGTGGAGAGAATCTAGACACACTTTGAATTTTCACCACACAAATCTGGACCACCCTAATATATATATATATATATATATATATATATATATATATATATATATATATATATATATATATATATATATATATATATATATTTATATATAAATATATATATATATATATATATATATATATATATATATATATATATATATATATATATATGTATATATATATATATATATATTTATATATAAATATATATATATATATATATATATATATATATATAATTTTTCTCCTTCTCAAAAGCTGAACATCTGGCAATTCTACATAGTAGCCTCATCATCTTTTAAATGATCAAAATAGACAACATAAAAATCTATAAACATATTTCAAACTTTCATCAAGTTACTTTTTTTTTCTTATATTATTTCCTGGATAGTCTGGATAGATTTCTGGATATCTGTCTTAAAAATTGTAATTTTTATTAACTTGCATTATATTAAAAAAATTTAAAACCTCAACTTTAGAAAAATCTGAAAAATTGGCAAATTTAAATTAACTCAATTATCTATTCATCAACAAGTCTTTACAGGTTACAATTACAGCCCTTCCAATATATGATTAGCTACTACATAAATATATATTAAAATATATTTTTAGATATATTTCATTAAAAGTCCAACTTACAGCCATTTTGAGATAACTGATAAAAAAATTTGTATTAACCAAAGATAAACAGCAAATAAAATCATAAGGCACATCTAGCTAAAAATGAAAAAATTTTAACTAGCTATGTTAATAACGAAAATGACAGCATTTTTTATTTATTAAGAGTTTAATACATGATTAAAAAAATGTCCTTCCAACCTGCTTACTACTCCATGTGTGGGGTGCAACCAATTATAAATCACTTCTGGAAATAGGAAAGATATGGTTGGTTACTCCTCCCTGATTTGTATTTTATACTGGATAGGGATACAAATAAAGAGGCAGTGATTATTTAGAACCCTCATTATTGTTAAATTGCGGTTTAAATTTTAAAGTTAATTTACATAATGAGTCATATAATTTTAAAATTCTTTAATAACTTCCAACCTTAAAACACTCCACCCAAACTAACCTAAAAATTTCCATAAAAATTAATGAAGGTTCTTAAAGATTGAAATCAAACTTAATTACACACAATTTTTATTATTAGATATGGTTTTTACTTGATAACTAATAATGAGTTGATTATTAAAATTTAAATTAATTTATGATAAACCATTTCATTTTTTTATATAAGATAGAAGTAAAACCTTCTTGTGTTTTTAAGCAATTTTATTAAGTAGATACAAATAATGGTGTGGATGATGGATACTTGAAAAAATTGCCTACTTTTTCTAAACAAAATGAATTTACTAAAATAAGTCATTAATATCTAATCAGCAAAGACTAGGAAAAATTGTTTGCATATTCAGATAGTTGTGTCTAATGGTGTTATTTAATGTTAATCTTAGACCAATACAAAAATATTGTTACAAAAGTTTATATGACATTTCAAAATGGCTAAAAATTGTAATTTTATCCAAATGGGCAAAATATTTTTAAACTCCATATATTTTACACATTTATTTAAGACATTTAGACAATAGTATCTGATAAGAAAACTATTTTTTCATAAATAAGTATTTATATAATTCTTCAGAAACTTGTTTCTCCATTAGGAAAATAAAAATACTTCCTAATGAATCTACTGATAGAGAAACAAGTATATATATATATATATATATATATATATATATATATATATATATATATATATATATATATATATATATATATATATATAAATATATATATATTTTATATTATAAATATATATAATATGATAATTGTCAGGTCAGGTTTATCCTGCTACTGGCAACATGTAACCCAGTACAATCTGCTTTATGTCCTGCTGTCTTTTAGGATACACCTTTTTAGGCAAAGGCTAGGAGATGCCAACTCCAACATAAAACACTTCCTGCCTAGAAACTCTTGGTTGAGTAAAGGCTAGAGATGGTGTCTCAACAAAAATACTCATCTAAGGCAGATGTTAAATGCATCCGGCTGCTGTCTTGTAGAAGGCCTCCTGGGCAAAGACTTAAGGATGTAAACAGATTCTATCTGTTGACCAGCCTCGCACCCCTTCTTCATCTATTAGGCTAGGGGAGATGTATTTTTAATACATTGTTTCCAGTTGAGGATGTTGATTGCTGGATCTTCTTGACTCGATGCATGTGTTTGCTTGTGTCTTCGTTTTTATGACTAGGCAACTCATTCTATTATCACCTAATGAGGGTACAGCTCTAAAACTCAGTTTTATGGTTCTGAGGCCGGCTGGTAGTCAGGTTTCCCGAACTCTGTGGTAGCTCTCAGAGAGGCTGATATCATCAATAGCTGTAAAATATAAAAGTACTAACAGTGCCATGTTGCGCATGGATGGTGTCCCTGTTTGTACTTTTGGTGTGCATTACCAAGGTTGCATTGGAACCCTTTGTTACGGTTTAGGGTTTATTAATAATAAAAGGCAATTGCTTGGGGCATTAAACAGTGTACTGAGTACTATCTTTGTTTTGAGTCAAGTTCCTTATCAAATTTAAAAATTAATTAAGTAACAAAAACTACAAAACACAAAAAACCACAATCATCACCAAGTTCGCTAAACCTATCATTCACTAATATTTGTGGTCTTCGAAGTAACTTTTCTTCTGTTGAGTCTTATCTTTTGCAAAGTTCACCAGACCTATTTGCTCTTTGTGAGTACTAATTTGAGTTCAACTGTCTCATCTTAAGATTTTTGTGTTGATGGTTATCTTCCTTTAATTCGTAAAGACTCCGATAGCCAAATGCTTGGCCTGGGCATTTACATTCGTAAGAATTCACCCATTTGTCGGGAAACTAGGTTTGAATCCACAGACTACTCTTTTATGTGCTTTCGTTTAGTACAATTTCACTCTATCACCTTTCTCTTTGTTCTATATTGCTCTCCTTCATCTCAAAAGTGCACTCTTCTTGATGTTATTTCTGATCATATTGACCAAGACCTCTCTCTTTATCCATCAGCCAATATTGTTGTTGTCTGTGACTTTAATGTTCATCACACTAAATGGCTTGGCTCTAGTGTCAGTGACTTTGCAGGCATTAAAGCCCACAATTTTTGCCTTTTTCAATCCTTAACTCAAAGAGTCAACTTTCCAACTCGTTTTCCAGACAACCCAAATCATTTACCTTCTCTACTCGACTTATGTCTTGTTTCTGATCCTAGCCAGTGCTCAGTTTCTCCACATTCACCCTTAGGTGCTTCCGATCATGGTTTGGTCTCACTAAAACTATTATCTCATTCTTCTTTATCATCAGAATCCCCCTATCATTGTACATCTTACAACTACCTTAAAGCTGACTGGGACTCTTTCAGTGATTTTCTTCGCTATGGCAGTTGGGTAGAAATCTTTTATCTTCCTGTTGACAAATGTGCTTCTTACATAACTTTGTGGATTCAGGGTGGCATGGAACCCTTTACTCCTGCTCAACAATTCCAGGCCAAGCCTCACTCTTCTTCATGGTTTTCCTCACATTGTTCTGCTACAATTGCCAATCGAAACCATTACTTCCATATCTATCAGCAAAACAATTCTCTGGAAAACAGACGTCTGTTTATTACTGCTAGAAACCATTGTAAAAAGGTTTTGTCTAATGCCAAAACCCGCTATTCTCAGATCATGAAATCTCGTATTTCATCACAAAAATTAGGCTCTCGTGACTTCTGGAGAATCTTTAAAAGTATCAATAATAAGGGCAGGACTGTAACTCCACCTCTTTTGTATGGTTCAGACTTTTGTATGGTTCAGACTTCACTTAAAGACAAAGCTGAATTATTTGCTAAGAACTTTTTATCAATATCATTTCTTGATTTGACTAGTTGCGTTCTACCTGATATAGCCGTCAAACAAGTTGGTCCATTGCTCAACATCCATATTACTCCAGCTTCTGTATCTAAAGAGATTTTCTGCTTAGACTCTTCTTCAGCTTGTGGCCCGGACAACAAACCTGTTGTAGTTTTGCAAAAGTGTTCTCCGGAGCTGTCGTCTATCCTTTCAAAACTATTCAACAAGTGCTTATCAGAGTCTTGTTTTCAAGCCTGCTGTTATTCCTACTTTTAAAAATTCTGGAGAGCGATCTGATTTGTCTAATTACTGACCCATTAGACTTCTTCCTATCATAAGCAAGGTTTTTGAATCTTTAATTAACAAACACTCAATCTCTCATCTCGAATCTCATAACCTACTTTCTGATCATCAATATGGATTTCGATCTTCTCATTCTACGGCTGATTTGCTAACAGTAATAACCGATAGGTTTTATTGCGCATTAGATAAAGGTGGAGAGGTTAAGGCCATTGCTCTTGACATTTCTAAAGCACTTGATAATAATTGGCATGCTGGTCTTCTCCATAAGCTTTCTTCTTATGGTGTCTCTGGAAACATCTTTAAGATTATTGAATCCTTCCTTTCCAATCGTAGTATAAAAGTTATCCTTGATGGACAGCACTCTTCTTCTTATTCTGTAACCTCAGGGGTTCCTCAAGGTTCAATCCTTGGCCCTATACTCTTTTTAATTTACATTAACGATCTTCCAGATATTCTCACTTCTAAGGTGGCATTGTTCGCTGATGATACTACCATTTATTCTTGTCAAGATAAGAAGCCAACTCCCTCTGATTGCTTGCAGGGGGCATCTGAGCTTGAAAAGGATCTCACTTCTGCTACAGCATGGGGCTCACAGTGGCTGGTGAACTTTAATTCAGATAAAACTCAATTTTTTTGGGCCAATCGTTATTGCAATAATTTAGACCTTCCTATATTTATGAACGGTAATGTACTCAATGAGTCTCCTACCCTTCATTTTCTAGGATTAATTCTTACTTCTGATCTTTCTTGGAAACTTTATATCAAATCCGTTGCAAAATTAGCATCTACTAAAGTTGCATCTCTTTATCGAACTCGTCACTTTCTTACTCTGGATTCTATTCTCTATCTCTATAAATCTCAAATCCGGCCTTGTATGGAATACTGTTGCCATATCTGGGGCAGATCTTCTAATGATGCCCTTTCTCTTTTAGACAAGGTGCAAAAACACATTGTAAACATAGTTGGACCTGCTCTTGCAGCCAACCTTCAACCTCTGTCACATCGTCCTAATGTTGCTTCTCTTTCTCTTTTCTACAAATTATATAATGGGCACTGCTCGAAAGAGCTAGCGTCTCTTGTGCCATCTACTAAAATTCATTCTCGTGTTACTCCTCATTCAATTAAGTCTCATCCTTTTTCTGTTACTGTTTAAGTGCTCCAAAAACTCTTATTCGTCTAGTTTTTTTCCTCGAACATCAGTTCTTTGGAATTCGCTTCCTTCATCTTGCTTTCCTGATTCATATAATTTGCAATCTTTTAAGTCGTCTGTGAATCGTTATCTTGCTCTATAATCTTCATCTTTTCTCTTCCAGTAACTTCCAACACTAATTAGTGGTTGCTTGCAGCCTTGTTGGAAGCGAAGATAAGTAAAATATATATATATATATATATATATATATATATATATATATATATATATATATATATATATATATATATATATATATATATATATATTACATGAAACTCAAAATATCAACCTGTCATTTTTTTTCTTTATAAAAAAATTTATTAAATAATTATGCAATTCCTCAATAAAAGATAATAAAAAAGCAATTATTTGAACAAAGGAATAATATAACTATAAAAAAGAAAAAACCAAATCCAAAATTAAATGCTTTAATTTTGGATTTGGTCCAAAATTAAATGCTTTAATTTTGGATTTGGTTGTTCAAATAATTAAAATTTTGTATACTTATATATATTTATTTATCTCTTACTTAACAAATTAATTTTTTTAACAAATCTATTTTTCATAATGCAATATATATACATTTTTTACATAATGAATCACACAACAAATAATTTTGCAAGCAATTTTTATAAATGTCTCATTATTAACAAAGATTTTTTATTTAGTCATTTTACTTCCTATATAACACAAAAACTTTCCCCAAACTGAAAAAAAAGCCATTGATACATAAATGAGCTTATCAACTATAACAAGCAACACACAATATGCGATCAACAGGTGTATCATAATTAATCACCCAGCAACTCAAACAAAATGAGTTGGCACAGTAGTCACAAATCTTGCTACACTTATCTCTACATATACTTTTGCAACAATAATAGCAAGAAGAAATTTCAGAAGTTTCAGTTTTTAATTGACAAAAATAACAAGTGCGCTTCTCTTTTAAAACTTTAAATACTGGACCAATATTATTTTTTCCCCTTTGAGATTTATCCATATTGTTATTTAAATTTAAAACTTCATTTTTTTGAGCCTGTATTGAACCTGATAGCATAAGTTGTTTTGTTTTCTCATAAACTTGCTGTTTATAATTTTCTTTACCAACATGATGCATGTCTACATGAGTCTTTAACTGATTATGACTATCATCAAATGGACATAGTCTTTTTGCCATTTTCTAAAGTTAAAAGTAAAAGATATTTTATTTAAAACATTTATTATACTAATAAATGTTTTAAATAAAAAATGTAAGGAATATTTTGATTAATAGGTTTTTAATTTCAACAGATAACAAACATAAAGAAAAAAGAAAAAAATTGTTTAAAGTTAACTATCAAAAGTATCTGCCTTTGTTCGAGCAGAGAATATAAAAATAACTAATAACAATGAATAATTTAAAAGAAAAAAACAAATAGGAGTTTAATTTACTTAAAAAAAAGTTTTTGCCCAAGTCCAATTAAAAACTAATATTTGATACTTTACAATAAAGATTATTGCACATTAGCATGGCATTTTTCTTATGTACCACAATCTTCTACTGTGGTAATTATGCTTGTTTAACTTGATATTTTAAAGATAAACCAACATAATTACCACAGTGTAATACACTAAGTTAGTGCAATCAGTGTTTTTATATAAATTTTTATAATGCATGTTAAATATTAGCATAGTAGTAATGATCCATCAATGCATAGGTAATATTGTCAAATAGTATTCATAGTATTAATAGCATCGGGTAATGTTGCCCATACATTTATGCATCATCATTAATGTACCTTCCTATTATTTAACATGCATTACGACTATTACACTATTGTACTTTTGATAAATAGGAACTTTAAATTATTTTATGTAGAATAAAATTAGAAAAAATGACGTGGTAACAAGTCTAATAATGTTGTAATATTACCTAATTTGTTTAGAATCTAAACAAAATACAAAAACCATTATATTTTAGCATTTCATAAGCTTAAGACTAAAGCCTGTGAAATGCTAAATATTGTAACGATTTTGAGAATGATATTTGTATGATACACTTAAGTTAAGTATACAATACTTTCATAAAATCAGTAATACTACCAACTGTAATAATAATTCTCATAGACAGATAATGTTTGCAGATATATAAATCAAATAAAAGTTTACGTACATATAAATCAAACAAAAAAGTTAGTACCGTAAAACAAAAAATGTTAGAACCGACAACAACATCAGATCATCTCTGTTAAATCACAAATCTCACGTGTTAATAAAAAAAGCTATGTAAATACGGTTTTGCCGTTTGACTCACGGTTTCATTAGGGGTCGTTCATTAAGTAATAGTATTTAAAGTAAAAGTACACCAAAAATTTTGAAATTTGTTTTAATGACGAATCAAAAAATTAACCTTCCTAAATTTGAGGGGGTTGCAAACTTTATATGGTCATAATTTTTGAATTCTAAAATATTTTACCATGAAATTCAAAATTTCATGGTAAAATAATTTGGAATATTCGTGTTGTTTATAAGTTAGTTATTTCAAACATTTAAAAACCTTCCTACGCCACTGCTTTTATTAACTCGTCGTTTCTGTCTGTTTGGTTGTTTGTTTGTTTGTTTATCTGTGAGCATCAAATCTTGCAATCAATTTTTGAGTCACTTCCTGATGATAGATTTTCTTCAAATTTTGCGTACATACTCTTGCTTGATGACAATACAATATTCAATAATTAGTTTTGTAATAATACAATTCATTTAGTTAATTTTAATTAAGTTTATTTTTTAAATGAAAAAAAGAATGAAAACTTTATAAATGAGTATATTTATTGTTTTCATACTTAAACGTGCGTTTAGCATGTTTGTATAAGGCGTTTACTTCGTAAATGGAATGTCTGTGATTCGAGATCCGCATCTTCCCTGAACTTTTTTTTTTTTTACACACGCATACAACCGAATGTTAACAAAATAAAACAGTAATATCAGAAATAAAACAGTAATATCAGAAATAAAACAGTAATATCAGAAATAAAACAGTAATATCAGAAATAAAACAGTAATATCAGAAATAAAACAGTAATATCAGAAAAAATTGCAAAATTTGTGTTAAATAATATATAAAAGCAATGGGTTTTAAAAACTCGTTTTTAATTTTACTTGTTTGATTAAATTTCTTAGTACATCACTCAATTATTTACTAAAGTAGAAATATTTCATGATTATGAACATCTACAATCAAGTTTAAAAAATATATGTGTAAAGTTGCGCAAAAGAATGTGTCATTTCTTCATAAATGCTCATTTTAAACGAAAGTTAAATTTAAGTTAAATATTTTTGCATAATTTCACACATAATTCAAGGAAAATGGTATCAACTTCTGATAATTTTGGTGGAGTTTTCACAAACACTGGAAGATCCTTTTCCTGAGCTTAATCGACACAACCTGAACCTAGATGATCCACGACTCTGGGGGTCATCAATACCTGTGTCATGTGCACTTTTAACATCAAAGTCAGATTTGTTGTACAAATTTGTATTTGCTAAGATACAAGATGGGCTCGAAATGGAAACTCAGAACATCATGTCAGACTTTCAGCGCAGACTTCAAAATGCTCTGAAAGAGGCATTAATGGATGCAGATAACCAATATTTAATTGTAATTTTACTACAGTGATTAAGTGATCTTCTTTAATTCTACAAAAAGATTTAACAATGACAAAAAAAATGCTATAATATTGCAGAAGACTTAAAAGTAAGGGTCAGCATTTTAAAATATTTTAATGACAATAGCAATATTTTCCTATTCACGCTATTTTCGTATATTATTTTTTATTCAAAATATTTTTATTCAAATTTTGTTAAGGTAATAAAATTTTCAGAATATTTTTAGTACTAATTTACGACGCTGATAAATGATTAAAACATATGTTTTTTCCAGTAAACTACTCTACCACTCTATCATATAAATTACAATTAAAATTACCACTGTAACCACTTCTAACCGTAATAAACGCTGATGCTATATCTCTCTCTCTCTCTCTTTCAGATTCCATTTTGAAAATGCCATCAATTGACAACTCTCTGTCATAAGACTTCAGAGAGAGTACAGGCATCTCCCATTACTGAAAAAATACTCGAAAAAAAATGTGTCTCTGCATGCTTCCACCAGAAAATATTATAGGAGCATGGGACTCACGTGTCATAGAGCTGGTACAGTTCACTGGTGATGTTAAAATCAAGTTTCTGTCGTTCAAAAGATATTTGAAAGGTACTGGCTAGGGCTTGTTACACCTGAAGGATTCAGTGCCCTTTTCCTCAACCACAAAACACACAACAATCCTAAAGCTTTTAATAGAAGACTGAAGTCATCTATCAGAAATCACCATAAAGACTTCTGAAAGTTTATGTGCTTGCTCCAGGAACACATATTTCAGCATACGTTTCACGAGCTTCAACAGCTGGCAAACAATCTTCGAATACGGAGAGACCAGCGCAACTACAGTGCCATTCAGAAGACAAAATCATATGAGCAGAAATTGTTGAGTGAAGAGTGGTCTACTGAGCGTTTCCTCAAGGCAATTGCCTACTTGTTTCAAAATTTTTGTGTGAGGTAAACACTTTTATTTCATAGACAAGAGAGAGAGAGAGAGAGAGAGAGAGAGAGAGAGAGAGAGAGAGAGAGAGAGAGAGAGATGGATAACGAGAGCTTAGGTGATTTAGAATAACTATTTTTGTTCATGAACACAATTTTTGAAAATCTTTTCACAAATTTATATCAGTTTTATTTGCATAAAAAGTAGACTATACCAACAGTTTAACATTAAAGTTTTTTTAGGAGCAATAAAGACATTGCATCTGAGAATCAAGAAGAAAAGAATCCAGACGCGGTCGTCCATATTAAAGTCACAGATAGCAACCCAAAGTGTGTTGTCTGCCCTTTTAAATAACAGAAATGCATTGCAGACATTTTCTTTTCTGCATTCCATGCATTGGTCAAGTTCAAATCAGCCAAACACCATATTGCCCAATTTGCCGGGGACCTTTTGAACAAGTCATTGAACCTTTCATTGTTTTACATGATGATTTTATAGATTTTATGAAAGTTAAGTAAAATAAACAATTATTTTATCCATCATTTGTTGACTTGCGTTTTTCATTTTTCTTTATAACAGGTTCAATCTGATTTCGAAATAACTCCTGAAATTAGATTTCGAAATAATTGTTTTTCTTCCATTTCAAAATAACTCCTCTAATGAGATTTCGAAATAATTCTAAACTACTATTTTTAAAAAAGTTCCTAGATTTTTGTCAACGAAATATATTTCAATTAGAAATTTTGAAATATGTCCCAAACAAGAGGTTTCGAAACAATTCCTATTTTTTGGCACTATTCCACTTTTTATATTTCAGGATAATTCTTTTCTTCTATTTCGAAACAGGTAATGCTACCCTTTCATGGAAATAGAGAAAAAAAAAAAATTATTAAACTGTATAAATAATGTCAAATAAAAAAAAAAAAAAATCCATGCAATTCATGCATCTCCTCATGCAACAAACCAATTGTATAACTATTCCAGTTTTAACGGGTTATTTTTAATCTGTTTTTATCTATTTTCAGACTATAAGTTATACAAAAGAACGCCTAAATTATTTTATATAAACAATTTATAATGTCATCGTATATAAATATTTTTTATTTCATTGGCGTGAACTTCTAGTTAAATGCTCAACCACGTGCTCTGTGATAACACCGGTGCTCTGTGATAACACCGTGATAAGACTCTGATGATAAGATAAGACTCTGTGATAACACCGTTAGGACTACTAAATAAAATTAAAAAACAAAAAAAAACTTCAGATTTAAGGCCTCAAGGCAAGCAAACACAATGAGGTCCCTGCCCCTGACCCATAATTTCTCTAATAAGTAACTATAAAAAAGAAAAAAAGTGATGACTTATAAAAAATATATTAATTAAAAATGTATATTATATTATATTTTACATCAAAATACAAATATGCTCATGAAAATAGTTTTGTCATAAACATTATAATGTAATAATTTTAAATTTTAAATTTTCTGCGCGATTTTAAATAGGCAAATTTTTAGATAAGTTACCTCTATCTAAATTTAGTGATTTTGCAATTACATTTTCAATAGATAAAATAGATTAATATTAAAGTCTGTTTGTTGCCATAGTACTTGTACCATAGTATTTCTCAAAAAGCTTTTAATTAAATTCATTTTAGAAAAGCTTCTTTCGTTTGATGCTACTAAAACTAGTAAAGTTAAATTAATCATTAAAGCGGCGGTAATGTTTGAATAGTGCGATGTTAATCCCCATTTTAAAATTACTTTTTTTTTTTTTTTTTTTTTAATGTTGATTTAGGTGCCCCAAGAAGTCCTTACGGTCTTATCGCAGAGCACCGCGGAAGAGCATTTAACAGGAAGTTCACGCCTCCTTCCTAACCGATGTCGCAAAACTTGCCCAGAGGTGGGTTTGAACCACGGATCTTACGTTTCTGAGGCAAGTGCGCTACCACTGTGCCACGGCTGCTATTTCCGATACTTCTGCTGCTTCCGATAACTTCTTCCACCATGTTACTGTTGTTTCTTAATGCCATTAATTCATATTCAAAACTTGGTGCAATAAAACTTTTGTATTTTTTGTAAAAATTTAGAGTCTAATGACTTATTTCCGAATCTTTACATTCTAACAAGTTAGATGGTTCTAAAAAGTTAAGAAATTGTCTTAATTCTATTTTAAATTTTAATCTTTTCCCAATTTGAGATAAAAGCAAATTGAATGTTATTTTATAAATTATATCAATAAAAATTTTTTTTTGACTTTTGTTAAAATTTCTTACGATTTGCTGTTCGTTTAGATTTAAAATCAGTTGTAATTCCAGACTCTTTCGCCAACTTATTTGCGTCACTCTTATACAAATCATAATTTTTTTCAAGTTTTATAAGTGTGTCTATGCATTTTTCCAACGAAAAAATGGCTTGCATTAAATTTGTATTATTTTTTTTTTGAAGAAGTAAACTTATTGTGTTAAATTCATTTAATATTCCGCTAACAAATTGTAAAATAACCAAAAGTTTTGTTTGAAATTGATTTTTTTTTTTAAAGCTCACGTTTTTCTGATTTAAAAAAAGTCAAAATAATTTTATCGAGTGCGACAACTATATCTATAAATCTCGATTTAATAGCATGAAGAGATTTCCATCTTCCAGCCCATCAAATTGGATTGAGAGTTTTTATTGTAGTATCTACTTCATCGGTAAAAGAAGGCAATTTATCCCATCTGTTTAAAAAAGTTGATATTTCTGGAATATGTTTTATAATGTCATTTATCACTAGATTCAAGTTATGAGAAT